GAGAGAGAGAGAGAGAGAGAGAGAGAGAGATTATTCTTTTTTTCAAATTGTGATTCCTCCAACTCCAAAACGGAGGAAAAAAGATCGTTCATCGAAAAGACATCCGCAATCTTCATTTAGATCTAGATCTAGATCTAGGCTAGCCTCGAAACCAGATCAATGATTTATGTCTGTCTGTCTAGATCTAGACCTAAGCCATAGATCTAGAAGGACCTAGGTCTACCCCACAGAATTCTACACTAAGTGTAGAATTCTGTGGTCTGCCCTGAGCCAAGAGGGCGCTGAAACTTTCCGATATCACAAAAGAGTTCCCCTACCGGGTCTGTAACAGTAAACTTTGTGATTTTGTTCCCGGTTACCGGGGCTGTATACACTCCCTTTGTCCAAAGTGTTCTTAAGTAAAGAAGCACTTAGGACAAAATAGTTCTGAGGCGACGAATGGGCAGCTGTCCTGGACAATTTCTACTGAACTCTGTTGATTGTATGTGGACACTTATGATGTTGCCATATCGCACGATGTTGAGGTCTGATTGGTTATCTATTTGTCGATATAATATGTGAACTGGTGTTAGGGCTTCTATATGTAGATTTGTGTGTGTTTTTGGGTGTGTGTGTTTGTGTGTGTGTGTGTGTGTGTGTGTGTGTGTGTGTGTGTGTGTGTGTGTGTGTGTATGTGCTCTCATGTATATGTGTGTGTGTGTACACATGCATGTGTGTTATGTGCATGCATGTGTGCTTGTTTGTGTGTGTGTGTGCATGCATGCATGTCTATATAAGTGCGTGCTTGCATGTCTGTTTGTCTGTCTGTCTGTCTGTCTGTCCGTCCATCCGTCCGACCGTCCGCCTGTCCGTCCCTCCATTCATCTTTCTGCTCGTTCGTCTGTCTGTCTGCCCAACCATCCATCTGTCCATCCATCTGTCCATCCATGCCTTGTTCATCCGTCCATCTTTCTGTCTGCCTGTCTAGCTGCTGTAAATGTCAACTTAAACGAGATATTTTGGTCTTTCACAGATATTTGGTGAGATGGTTCACCCTGCAATGGCCATAGGACTGGCTGTTCTGGTCTCTGTGTGTTCCATTGGCTCTGTGAATGTTCTTATCATGGGACAACCCAGGTATGTTTCATGGTGTGCCATGGTGCAGTTATAATACGGTTGAAGCAGTTTAAGAGAGATGAAAATCACTGCACAACTGAAATATTAAAATGTCCTGTTTGAGATTAGAACCACGGTTATGTGCAATAATCCACCTTGGGTTTTTTTGGTCTTTCTTTGCTGTCAGTGTATCTGATGTCATTTTGATGTTCTCAATACTATTCTGATAACTGTCCTGAATTTACCCGTCACATGGAGAATTTCAAACTGTCTTTTGGATAAAGTGAAAAACAACTATAAAAAGTAACAATGTACAGTCTACCATTTACAGAACTAACCTTATCATAACTTTATGTTAACCATAGCAAACACATCATGTGTATAACATTATTCAAATCAAATGATGTCATTTTGATAGGATTGAACCAGGGAAATAAAATCTTCAAAAATATTTATAGGTCTTATAAGCGCACTGTATGAGCAAGTGGTGGGAACTCACTTTATACCCAGTGCTCACTGCCAATCAAATTCAATCGAATTAGAGTCAGGGTCAGGTCAGACAGATTTTCCTTCATGGAAGGCTAAAAGCTACCAGTTTGGCATAATATGACTGAATCGACTTTCAACCTTGAAAAACAAAGGCATTATATTTTGAAGATCACAACTGGCTTAAGTTGAATTTGGTTGAATTTTGCCGAAATGGTAGCTTTTACCCCTTCATGGAGAAAAAAATTCATTTAGCCTAACTCCGACTGAATCAAATGATGCATTCGACTGGCAGTGTGCACTTGGTATAAAGGGACATGTACAACTGAACTAAAACTGTCTCCTACGTTCCCCTCGTCAGACTGCTGTATGCTGCTGGCCTCAACGGCCACATGCCCCGCATGATGACTCTGCTCCACATCAAGTTCAAGACTCCGTGGATAGCCACCATGACTTTGGTTAGTGCATACTGGATGTGATGTTTGTTGATGTCATTACAGCATGGGTGACCTTTGACCTTTACCTCTACGGGCATCTGCGGTGATCCCTGATGAAGAGGTCTTTTCTTCAAGAAATTTTATTTCAAGCGTTCAGTTCTGGTTATCTTTTTTAACATCATAATACAAAAAATTGTTGTTTAAAGAAAATGATTTACAAGTTGTGTGTTGATATATATTTGGTCGCTTTTAAGCACAAGGGGTTCTATCCTGAAAAATGCTGTTTTGAGAAAATTGAAGGTAAGGTTTTGGGACCCTTGTTCAGTTTCTTTAAAAGACAAGGAAACCAAACTTCTCCTATAGGTAGGGCAACGTCCACTTTTGGTGTAGGTCAAGATTTCTGGAAACCCCTGAAATCTGGGTTAGCATGCTTGTCCTTAAAAGCGACCATATGTGTGTCATTAGAATTGGTGTGCTTGTTGCAGCAAAGATGAGTTTTTCTAATTGATAGCGATGCACAAGATAACAAATCCTTTTGCAGAATTAAATTATTCACCATCGGGCGGTCCCATAAATTTCGGGTTAAACGGACTCTACTGCATTTAAGTGGGACACAGCAGCTGGTTCAGGGTGAGCATGAACTTCCTCACCTTCAGCTGTAACCTGTCAGGACTACTGAGCTTCTTTCCAATTTGTCAAAAACTTATGTATGTAACAGCATCTGTGGTGTTATGGTTACACTCTATCCCAGTTCATGCTGGAGACAAGAGTTCAATTCCTGAGTTGGGGAATTTCTTTTTATTAAGTGTTTCCATCTGTCTATTGGGATATTGTATCCCACTCAGTTGAGGTTAGAGTTAGATGTGCCGAGGTCGAAGTATCCTGTCTCCTGAATATCGAAATTGTGTTAATGGTGGTTAAATAAATTTACAATAATAACCACTCTCCTTCTGTCCCTGCTCGCCCCCCCCCCCCCCCCCCCCCCTCTCTCTCTCTCTCTCTCTCTCTCTCTCTCTCTCTCTCCCCATTCCCCTCAGCTTGATGAAGAATTAGAATGCTGTTTTATTTTTTTAAATGTGTACAGGGCATACTGGGCTTTGCTACACTGGCATCTGGCACTGTTGCATCCCTTGTGGAAACCATTAGTTTGTACTCAGGTGAGATTTTTGTCGTTAGTCACGGGTAGTTTGAGGTTGCTTGCTTCTTTTCCACAAATTTATGATAACTTTGGAAAAATGGGATGTCTCTCTTTTTTTGGTTTTGTTTTGTACGTTGGCAATAAAGGAATTACTGCCCTGTTTACTTGCAGATGGGAGAGGGGAGAAATTTCGCAGAGGTAGATTTGATTTTTGTCATTTTAGTAAGGAATTTTGAGATGTCTATCAGATAATGATCAATTTATGTGTACTTAAGTGATGTGGTGGGATGCTTAGTTGGTTTTGTATACAACATTGCATTTTATTTCTCGCTGGTACTTGACCATTCTGAAGATATTTTGTCATTATGGATAAATTTCTTATGTACTTTCACAGCATCCATGATCTTCGCTTTGATGCTCTGTCTTCTGTTCTTGAGATGGAAAAGACCTGACGCCAAACGGCCATTGAAGGTTTGTGTTATCGTTAGAAATAGAAAAGAGGTCAGGAGCAGTTGAAACTATGTTTTAGTTAAAAAAAAATTTTGGCACTTGCAGCACAATTAGGTCATATAAATGCAGAAGATTGGATGTATCACAAGAGAGTAACAAACACAAAAAACGAAGGGAGATAAGGATGATAGATGTTTGATAGCAAAACATTTTTAAAGAAAATGGGACATCAAAGGGAGATATTGTGAAGTTGAGTAAGCTTTTGGTCAGAAGATGCAGGACTTCCTTTCTAAGTTAAACTTCCTGTGCCCTTTTTTTTCATTGTGTTATCCCCGGATATCTATCGGGTTTTCAATATTTGGTATGGTATTGACGAGCCTTCTTTGTTATCCATAGGTGCCTATCGTGTTTCCAATATTTGGTATGATATTGACAAGCCTTTTGATAGCGATGTCTGTTTACGAGAAACCAAGAGAGCTTGGGATGGTGATCCTCACTATCATTTGTGGGGTACCGGTCTACTATGTCTTCGTCAAGTGGCAGAGGCCTGCTGGATTCTTCCGAGCCATTGGTAAACAAAATTTGATTTATTTCTTTATGGTAGAGTGCATCACAGACACTAGGGCATGATAAAATATGCTTGTTTGACAACTTTTTCAGATCTGTAAGTTTTTTTAAAGCTGCACCTCTAATAATAGTTTCCGTAAGGTCATGAATGCTAAAGCAATTACACACTGAAAGGGTACCAAAATTAAAAATGAAGAAATACTTACTTACTTTACTTTTTCATCCTTTGTTGCCGTTAAGCGTCGAGGGGAGATGCAGTTTTCTATGGTAGGCCAGCTCTGCAGCTCTTTCAGTTGTGATGTTCTGTAATGAAGAAATTGAGTACCAATATCAACATTCCAGTCGTAATTAAGATTAAGTGGACATGTGCATCCCCTTGGATGTCATTATACTCTCTTTTGATTGGGTTTTTAAAAACTTTTCGATGCATGAATCTCTGAAGAGGAAGTATCGGCCCAACCCTACGAGAGGAGCCTGATAATTTTACAGGAGCCTGGATGACCTGTGGCAAACAGCACCCTTTGCATGATAGACTGGGATATTCATTTAAAGATGACTGAGAAGAAAGAGAAAATGAGCTGAACCTCTTCATGTTGATTCCTTGAATGAAAATCCCATTGTTTTAATGTAATTTGTATTTGAATGTATTTAAACTTGAATGATGCTCACTGGTACTGTGTTTTTGTTGAAAAAGAATTCAGGCAAGATGTCCACATTGTGACAGTTATGTCATTCCCAGTACTGAAGTTTGAAAAATTAGAAGAATTTTTCTCTGTGTGCATGTATTTAATTTTCTGATTAGTTTCTGAATTTGATCTACTCCTCCCCCTCCCCCCCAAAAAAACAAAACAAACACACACGCACGCACGCACGCACGCACGCACGCACGCACGCACGCACGCACGCACACTTTAATATTTCATTAAACAGGGAAAAGCATAGAAATTGATTGTTTTAGATTTAGGTCATTGCAATGTTTTAAGCCAATATTTTAAAAATGACTGATATACTTGTGCATTGTGGCTTGTTCACTTTCGTCTGGTCGCATTAAAAAAATCCTAGCTCTTTGAGGAATTTACCTATGCCAACGAAACTTCGCATGGCGCTTCTGCAGGCCAGCAACCAAACAAAAATATATTTTTAAAAAATCTTGACTCTGTAATATAAAAGTTTTTCTCGTTGGGCTTTACATAAAAAACCGCTCTTCGGATGTATACTCAGGATCACTAAAATAAATGACATGCAGTCATCTTGCCACCTAATTGCTCATTCTGAGACAGCGACCCCACCCTGCCCCCACATTTCAGAGTAAGCTTGTCGATTTCATTCCCCGGCTGTCTTATAGATGTCTCCACATGCTCTATGTTAGTCTCGAAAATTACCCACCCTGTCTCTTGAATCGTATTTCTTAGGCAAATGTTAAAGGGTACTGTTGAGGAAAATATGTCAACTTTTAAATGTTTTAGGTGTATGCTGTAAATCCATCATTAGGACTTTTTTGACCCACTTTAGGCTTACACAAAAGAACCTTCATTTGAAGTGACTTTTATGAATGAACTTTTAGATTCTGTTGGTCATCCAACTTTTAGACCCGTATGCAAAGATCCGAGAAGACTGAACAGAGCGATTTCAATTTATATTGTTTTAACCATGGACAGACGGAACTGAACAAGTTATAGAATTTATCTTTGCTCATTCAAGGACCTTCCTTTTCACGACTATTGAGTAATTTACTGTTGTACCTGCTGTGACCCTGCCCGTTATATTTTTTCAGATGTGTTGACCACTCGCTTGCAAATCCTCCTTCAGCTTAGTTTTCCTGAGACTTAGAGGAACTATGTATGCTGGGCAAGCGATGTGTATGGACTCACAGTGGTGATGTGATGGTCATTGTGTATGACCTTGCTGACCCCACTGTATGTACGGGCATTCCAAGAAAATGGAGGACCAAAATCGTGTAGGAATCGGGAAAAGTTCCAAAATATGAGAGTTAATCCCACAGTGTTGTATGTTCTGTTAGATTTTCTGTGTTAGTCGGCTTCGGTGCTTAGAAGTGTTTTTTAAACATTGTTGTGCATATTCTAAAAAAGCTTTGGCTAGTCTTTTATTTTGCTATTACTTTGGATCTTCATATGCTTTCAAGGAGCTCTGTGTTTAACATGAATCAACTTGTTCATCTCACTTTGTGTAGTGATAATGGATTAGAGCTTAATTAATTTTCATTTTTTCCTTTAGTCTTGTATACGTGCTTCTTCTGTTATCAAAAGATAGTAGGGAGTCTTTGCTTTTTTCCTGAGAATTTTATTTCAATATATCTCATTTTCATGGAGCAATACGTCCACAGCAATATATATGTGTTTGTGTATGAAGCACTCTCAAACATTCCTGCCTCACATAATTTTCGTATTGTTGTACACCATACTGACCTTTTAAGATTCCTTTCTTTGTTTGCTCACTACAGTCTTACATTTGTTCTTTTTTCCCACCTTACAGCATTATTATAAAAGCAAGTACGAACCTGAACTGTTGTTTACTCACTCCTGACTTTTATTATTTTTAGGCACACAGGATTGCTGTCAGTCGTGACATTGACAATTTGAGATTTTGATTTAAGAGTACGAAGTGATTTTTAATCAAGCCAAAGGGTTTGATTTTGATAGAAACTGTTGCCCCGACTCTGGTTCAACATGGTCAAGCTGTTTCTGACTGGTGTAATACTTACTTTGAACAGAATCGTGAATTTTAAATATTTGGACGGATTTTGGGCCTTTATTTCTACTGTTTGTCCGAACTTTGGGGACCGTAAAGGATTAGCATGTGTTGCAAAGGGTGAGAATTTATACTGTGCCTATTCTGAAGTAAGATAATATGACTTGCAAGATTGTTATGGATGTTCAGTTGGAAGTAATTTCAACAGATTACCTGTGACTGTGATATCTCCTCGTGTGATTCTCAGTTTTGACCAAACTTTTTTTCCCACTTAATTTTTGGCCCTGTTTTTTTAGATCTCATTTTTACTGGTGTTTCCAAATATTTCATTGTCCCTATATTTTCAAGACTTTATATCAAGTCATGTTACTTTTGTTGACTTTTTATCACATCATGTTCTTCGTGATCATGTGTCCTTTTGAGAAGAGATGCACTTTTGTATCTTGCCATGTTTTAAGTTCGGCTGTGACCTTTTTTTATTACTGGGACATTCATTCAATTTTTTAAAAGTAAAAAGTGAGATGGTGCTGCAAAATCTGTACCCCTCATTAAAAAAATACGCAAATCTGGTCGTCAGGTGCTTCTGTTTACAACTTTTTACAACAGGGTAATTCATTTTCTTGTGTGTATAATAATGATAATAATAATGAAAAGTTATTGTAATAATGATTCTAGTAATGATGATGATAATAATAATGATAATGATAATTTCTAAAGAGCCCATTCCCATACAAAACAGCTCTTGGCGCTTTCCCTTAACACCGAATACAAAAGCATGAAAGGTATATATACTCTCTTTCCATTAACACTTTTGCGTAATCAGACATTCATACTATCACAGCACAATCGATGACGATATTCACATGACATTAAGAACACAAGAGTGGAAAGAGTACTATGAATAGGAAAGACTTTTTGACATGTTTATGAAGCTTTCAATTTAAAAAAAAAAGTGTTATATTGCTGGTTTTACCAGATGTGTACATGACTTCCGAAATGTTTTATTTTGTTATGAATGTATATATCCAATATATATAGATCATATTCACTTCAGCAATAAAATGTACCAGATTGGTGTTTCTTATCATGTTTTATTACAATATTGCTCAATGTTTTGTTTCATCGTTCAGTGTAGCGCAGTGTCCAAATGTGCAGTAGGGTTGACCTGCACAAGGTCATGTAATTATTTGAGCAAAACTACTTGATTGTGTATTTTTAATACATATAGGCTACATGTATCAATGACTGACTGTTCTATATTTAATGGTGAGGGTTGAGGGGGGAGTCACACCTATTCTAATGGCCACCTGTCCAAAACTGTCACCAGTACAAATAACCATTTCCCGCCTATTTCCCCCTTAGCATTTTTCTATGTTATCATGACACGGTCAAAACATCTACTTGTCTAAGACAACTACTTTTTTTCTCCCCGACAATTATTTTGTGGCCATCTTAGACAATTTCCATTGTATATTCATATGTAAATCAGCAAAGGAATCACATTGAGGATAACATTCCAGTTACTAAGTAATGATATTACTTGTGGTAAGCTGTAAACAAGTCAAAGCATAGAAATATGTTAGGCCTTTACCTTAAAAAGACCTGTACTTTGTATAAGTAGTACTAGTTTGGTTTTATGGCTTTATCCAGTGCTAGGAAAACATATATCTAGGTTCTAGAACAGGAGACCCACAGTAACTTATAGTGCCAAAGTAACTTGTGTGAACTACCCTGAATATATGAGGGTTTGGTCCATTCAGAGTTCTGTCAATTTTATAATCTTACCTAAGAGAATTAAATTAAATAGGCCTAGAGTAACAACAAACTCGATACTACTATTATGGTGTTCATAGTAATGAGTTCAGACCCCCACATTAGCTGATGCTGGGTTAGACTATAGTATCAATGCCAAAATTATTTTTAAAGCCATAATTCGCATACACTTTTATTGGAAACATGCTTTAAATGTGTCACAGGATTTTTTTTTTCTCAGTCTCTCAGTATGTTTCAAACTTGTTTGATGTATAGATAATGTATAGATATAAACAGTATGTATATTGTTGCTATTGGGGCATATATATGTGAGGCACCATGGTGAAATCAGGCGCTTGTCAAATAATGAAATCGAAGAAAAGACATTTTTCCTCCAGTTTGGCAATTTTTATTGAAATTTTGTTTTTTTGGCTAAACACCTTTTATGTTAATTTGAAAACACATTTCCTTATAAATTTTACTGAAAAACCTTATTCAAAGGTACAAAATATGTAATTTTCAGTTTTCAAGGACTCTTAAGCCATTGAAGTTACCAAACTTTGGTGGCCATTTTCTCAATTTAACCACCGGAACCAGGCTACCTCACCTTCTTCAATCGCGAATATCTTGACTTCTATTCAAACTAGATGGGTATTTTTTTCACTGAAAGCAAGACAAATGAATAAGCTTTCAGATAATATAAATAAATCCACATGCCAAACAATTTACCAGCGCCTGATTCCACCACGTCGTGACACTTATGTTTCGAGCAATGTACCGATCTGCGCAATCCTGCGCGTTTTAACGATCCTATAATTGCTCTGCCATCTTAAGATTGCGCTGCGCGTTTTAACGATGGTATAATTGCGCGACAATCTGAAGATTGTTTTAACATTTTATATTTTCATCTTTATTCTTTTACTCACTTCAAGGAACATTCACATACATTTTTAAAAGTGTAGAAATAGGAAAATTAAAATTAAATTTAACTTATAAAACTGAAGAGTTCACAAGAATGATACAATGCCAGGTATCAAACTGAAAGTTCACAAAGTACATTTAATTTATTTCATATTTTTGAAATAATGGAAAAGCAAGATTCACTTCCATCTTTATGTATTCTTTTACTCAATCAAGGAATAAATTAAATGTACTTTGAGTTTGATACCTGGCATTGTGTCTTTCTTGTGAGCTCTTCGGTTTTATATATTAATTTTAATTTTCATATTTTTACACTTTTGAAAATGTGTGTGAATGTTCCTTGATGTGAGTAAAAGAATAAAGATGGAAGTGTATTTTTTAGAAAAATTATTTTAAAAAATAAAAAAATATTAACGAAATCTTCAGATTGCTGCGCAATTATACCATCGTTAAAACGCTCAGCGCAAACTTAAGATAGCTTAAGATTGCTCAGATTGGTAAATTGCACGAAACATATGTATTATATATATATATGTTCTGTGTAAATACCGTAGCAAGTTGGGAATATATACTGGTTATCAAAATGAAGGTACCACTTTCTGATTGTGTATAAAATCTAGTGTTTTGAGTCTTTATGTTTTTCCTTTCACATGAGTTATGCTAAGTACTTAAACAAGTATGTCATGTTTAAAAAATAAAATTTTTATGCTTCAATTCGTGTTCCCAGCACCAATTGCAAAAATGAGAAAAATTAGCTTTTTTCCCCAACCTTGTTGTGGATTTGCTCTTTTCTTTGTTTTTAAAAGTTAAAGTTTTGGTCTGTGTTTACCAAAAGTTGCAAATAACATTTGATCATTGTTGCTTAAGAAAGAGATCATCACTCCACTAGCAAAATGGCCTAACTCAAGAGTTGTGCCACGATGTAACTAGCCTTTTATTTTGTTTGATGGTACTCTATCTATCTTTTGATAAAACTAGTGCAAAAAATGCGCTGGCTGTCTCAAAAGAAACTTGCATGTCAAGTTTTATATGACACCTGCCATTTCGTTAGCGCATTGGTGATATAAGATTTACTCAGCATCTGAGGAATCGGAAAAACGACATTCTCCGAGCTTTTCTTCTATTAACAGGATTCAATATCTGTTTTTTCTATTGACATTGAATGTCCTGGCAACAGCAGAAGTGTTCATTTTTGCATGGAGTGTGTTGATGGCTCGACTTCTCTGATGTTGAATTTTGGGTGACAATGATCAAGTGCTGATTTGCTATTTTTAAAACGTGGGTGCTGTGAACACTATTTAAAGTATCAAAATATTACTTTTATAACGCAACCTACTTTTTAGAATACATAGTGAAAGTCCAATCAGAAAGTAGTACCTTTTTTTTATCGCAAGTATATATAATAATACGTTGTGTGAAATCTGTTGTTAGTTGGGTAGATATATAAACTATGTGAATAGTGTTGTTAGTTAAGTAAATTTTGTTGTAGAAGAAGGTATCACTTTAAAAAAAATTGTTTCAGTCTTTTGAAAATTCGATTCAGTTATCTTTATAACTGTCTAGACCAGTGCTTGTTAACCTTTTTATAGTCAGCGCTCACCTTTTGATAACTTTTATAGGCTAAATTTTCATTTGACTCACCACCTACATGTATTTCTAAGTAGGGCATTATATAGTAACATCACTACCTGAGTGATCCTCACTGTCCTCCAAAATAACCAAATGGCCCACAAGTGAGCTATATCACTCTGGTCAGCCCTCAGTGGTCTAGGCAGAAAAATCTGTCACATTGTCTTCTTCAGTTTGAGGTTCATAACATCAGTAGCCTCGGTCCTAACATATGTAGCCTCAGGAAATTATTGCTCTTGAATTTAATTGAATGGAGAAAATGCTTTTATTCGCGGACTATGTCAAGACGATTTTTTATTTGAATATATTTGATGCAGCATGCTGGGAAGGAGGTACATTGTATCTAGAGGGTCAGTTATTTCTTTGCCTGATAAAGTGTAAGCATATTTTAAAAATTCTCTTTGATTTTCAATATCAACTTGAGATTGAGTATTGAGAGTTGAAATTATAGAGTGAGAGCACAAAGAGGTTGCTGGCTTTTTTGCCCTGAGCTCTGTTGCCATGACTTATGTCTTCCACAATGACTTTTGGATAAGTACTGGGGATATGCATTACTTTTTAAAATAAAAATGGCAAATTCTTTGTAGTGTTGGTAATGTCTTCTTTTTATACTATTGTTTTTCTAGTTATTTGATAGCTTTATAAGTTTGATATATATATATATATATATATATATATATATATATATATATATATATATATATATATATATATGTATATACATATATGTACATGTATATGTGTGCCTTGTTATTATTCAGGAACATTCAGTGATACATATTATTTTTGCCTTAAAAGAACTAATGTTGTGAATGCATTCTGCTGAAGTGTCTGCTCAAGTTTAAATCTCTTTTGTCAGTTTATGTGGACTACATGCCTGGAGTATAGTGGAATAACAACTGTTGCTTTGAAAGACTATTCAAACTTTCACATACTCACACACATATAGGCCTACCTGCAGTATACTTTTCCTTTATGAATGCATACATCCACATACATTCTTTCACATACACAGACATACACGCACACACAAATACTCACACTCCAAAACACACATCTACACATACACAAACACACATCCACATACACTCTATGATCCACCTGGGAGCTAGATCTAGAGGCAGATACTGGGCATATGGGACACAGCTGGATGGAGGTGGAGAAGATCACCTTAGAACAGGTGAAGAGCTCGTCTTAACGGCCTATACCCAATATCAGGGTGAAAGAGAGGAAACAGGCGATTGTCAATTTTTGGGCATATGGAGTTATTAGTATCATCTTAAAGCTTGTACATTTGCCTTGCTTTCGATGAAAAAAAATACCCGTTTATCTTAAATACAAGCCGAGATGTTTGCAATTGATGGAGATGGGGGCTGCTTGGTTTCAGAGGTAAAATTACCGAGAAAGTGGCCACCAAAATCTGGTTATTTACATAGCCTAAGAGTCCGTGGAAACTGACAATTTACACTTGTTGTGCCTTTAATCAACGTTTTTCAGTAAAACCCATGCATAAATGGGTTCTTCAATGGACATGAAAAAGGTATTCAGCCCAAAAAAAATTTCCTGTAAAGATTGCCTAACCACCTGAAAAATGCCAATTTCTTCAATTTCATTATTTTGACGAGGGCCTGATTTCACCTCGCTGCCTCACATTTGATGATGATGCCGCACACTCAGTCATGCGGATGAAATGTGTTTCCACAAACCACAAGAGCAGCGTGTCAAACACTCGTCCCTGATATCTGCTCACACACTTGAACAGCTCTTTTCTAAAGTGCATCATACACCAATGGTCTTTCATGACTTGCTTGAAATTGAAAGTCAGTACCAAAAGAATGTTTTGAAATGATACTAACCGTAATCAGTTGCTATAGCTCTTTTCGATAAAATTCCATATTTATAATGTAATTTGATCTAAAAAGTAAACTACAGTGGAGTAGACGAATACTGAAATCAACGGGACAAAAAGATTTTATTCTTAGAAGCTAAGTTTTAAGTTTAGATAGGTTGCTCAGTTAGAAGGGAAAAAAAATTGTGGATTTAATAATAATGTTCTTTTGGTTTAGTGCTTTTTTTGGATTGACCGTGTTTAATCTAAGTGGACTCCACTTCTTTTTGTCTTTGGAAAGTAAGTGAAAAAGGATAAGGCGGAGCATGTAGTCTTTATTTTGTTGTTCACACTTCTTCTTTATTTGCACAGAGAAGTTTTTGTAGGCTGGGCTAACTTTAAAAAAACAGGGTCAAGCAATTGTGGATGTGGCTCATGTGTCATCACATAGAGAGTGAGTGCTTTCCTGAACTTGAATGTACTAGAGAACGAAAGTTTTCTTTTTGAGTCGAGCTGCAAGGAGGCAACCTCTAAAAAGATACTGTCAAACTTGCTCTAACGACCACCTATCCAAGACAGTCACCTATACAAACAGCCACTTTCCACTTCCCCTTTGCGATTTTTCTGTAATAGTATTTAGATTGGGGAGAATAAAAAGGATTACCGCCTTAAAGACTTTTTTTGAAAAGAAAAGCATTTGGACAGTACATTTTTTTACAGACATTATCAAAATATTAATAACAAGTTACTCCACTTGCAATATTCTTCTGTATGAATTCGTAAAATTGATGTTTGATATTTGTGAAATGTGCTGACAAAATGAGTTACTTCTTGAATTCAAGCCTTAAGGAAATAGATAGATACATCATGCTTATAGGTGAAGTTTTTACAATTTATAGTAGATCTACAGGTATGAAATAATAAAAGACAGGTCGTAGTTAAAGGATATGGCATCAATAGAAAATCTACAAATTTGACCCTAATGTCGATTTTTGGCCAAAATCTCCGTTTGTTGATTTCGAGAAGTAACTCATTTTGTCAGCACGCTTCACATCTACTTTTGGGGACACTTATGTCTAATCTTTGATTCCAAATAAGGCACCCTTATTTCATGTTCATAGAACACACTGTTACAAACTTGTATACCTCTCAATAGCCTCAAAGTACTTGTTCTATATAATTAATTGTTTTCTAGAATTATTCAAAGACTCTATGTCTTGTAGACAATCAAAATACATGTACTTTTGTGTCTACATGAGTCAGGAGCTTTAATTTTGGTTAAGGTTTGCCTTGTTCTGCGCAGGCTACAAGCCTTATACAGTCCATGTCGGCTTTAATTACGGACATCGGAAGAAAACATAAGCGTGCTTAAATCCGAAGCATGCTTGAGTGCGAAGTAGACATAATCCAGAGATTTTCAGGTAGAAAATTTCTCGTGCTATTTCCCTTTGTTTGTAAGTAGGCCTATAGCGGTCCCGCAAAAGTGTGCACTGTTATTTTTACCCGCCATGGTAGTTTTTGTTTGCTTGTTTGTTTTTGTTTTGTGGTCGAATGGGAAATGAAAACTTAATTTAGACGGCCAGTCACGATACAGCACACTTGGCCTACACGCTGCCTGTGCGTACCACTGCCCGCAGTGCCACATTCATACCACCGCCTTCATCCCACCTCGCGCGTGATACACAATCAGGATTAATGGATAGCGAGGGTCAAAGGTGAAATCGCAGCCAGCCGCCCTTTCTCGTCTTCCTGACTCTCTTTGTATTTTTTAGTCTGTGTGTAATTTTGCCCTAGGCTAGATCTTATGTCCACGCGCGCGGCTGTGGGCATCTCTCTGCCTTCCTCTCCGCCCGTGTGAGTGTGTGTCTCCATGAGAACTCCATCACTTGCATTCTCTGTGTTTCTCCTAACACACTCCACTGCTGCAGTGTAGACTGTGTTCGAACTTCGATGGGTCATCATAAAAGTATTAACTGTCTTGTAATGAAGCGTGCCTGAAGCCGAAGTTACCGTGCTTAAAGGCGTGTAATTTATATAGCAAAAATTCGGTAAGAGCCGTTTAGCGTGCTTGAGTCCGAAACGTGCTTTAAGCCGGCGTGCTTATAGCCGGCATAGACTGTATCAATGCTGTTGCAAGCAATTGTCCTCTTTTGAGATTTTTCAATTTTTACACCCTCTCAAAGCTCTATCAAAGATGCACCTTTCAGCTTCAACATCACCAATATGCAGGTTAATGCTATTGTTAAGGCTTACAATTTTATTGCTTTTCATGATTTCTGATAGGAACAACACAACAAAAACTGGCTTTTTCTTCTCTAACATAAAAAGTTCCCAGATGGACTTAAGTGGATTGCTTGCAACACTAAGCATATGTAGTGTCTGTTATGTAGCTCATTGTTAGAATTCTGATGGTTGGTTATTTTATGCTTTGATTCATAAATACATGCTCAGAAAAGTCTCATTTGGCACCGGGCAGATCAAGAAACATGAGATGGGAATCTGTCAGAGTCAGATGAAAAGAATTTACGTGTGAATTTGAAATTCTCTGTTCCAATTTTGAAATTGGTTTTTTTTTCGCCATGTAAATGTTTTGCAAAACATATTTTGCTCTTGTTTCATTTGGTTTTTTTTTCCAAAAGTGTAAAACCAGCTAGTCATGCAATAGTTCCATTAAATGTATCCTAAGTGTCAACAGCCTGTCATTGGTCAACCAGTAGGGCAAGGGTTATAATATGTGTTATGGTCACTATTATTATTTGGATTTTTTTGCGAGTCTGCTCAACAAGAAAAAATGTTTTCACTTTCTTTTGAATGTGATAACTTGCCATGTCACTGTATGTAACAATATAAAATGATGTAGAAAAGAAAAAAAATGGTTTTTGCCTTTTTTATTTTGTTTTTAAAAAATTAATTTTTCAATGTAGCAAGAAAATACATTTCTTTTCTCTCCTGGTAAGTAAATTTGTAAACCCCTTCCTCTCCCATTTCTAAAAAAATTAACTCAGAAGATAAAATAAATAGAGTATCATCAGATCACAGCAACAAGGTGTCTTGTAATGACAAGGTACTTAAGAAAAATATTTTTTTATGTTTGAACACAGAAAAGCACATCGACACAATAACGGTTGTCGTGCTTGGAAAAAAATGAGACAGACCGAAGCAACAGAGGGAAAGTGTCCAAGAAATGAAAATTTTAAAATTATCTAACTAGTGAAAACACACCTTCTACATGTTACCCGAGTTTGTAAACACACCTTGTCACAACATCAAACTCTGTAGATTTATTATTTCATGATAATCAGTGTGATAGATTAGAATGTGAATTGTTGGTGGGCACTCTGATGAAACCTGCTCATTCTGTTTCTTTTCAGTGTTACTTCATGAACGGCCTTTATCTTTCTCTGGTGAAATCATAAAATGTCTCTGACGCACCATGAGCTGCTCATGCTACTCATCATTTACACACAAGATATCAATGACAATGTCTGCGTAATTTTCTATGTAGCCCCAGACATTTCAAACTGGTTTAGTGGTTTGATGCTTTGTTGTGGCTTAGAGAAGACCTGAGTTTGATCCCCATAGAGGGAGAATTTTTATTGAGCATCTCAGTCTTTCTTCTGGGGCGTTATATCCCTTTCGGTCTAGGTTGGCCCTGAAAGGCAGGTTCGAAACCCACCTCCTATTTGATCTAAAGTGTGTCGATGGTGGCGTAAAAGTACCTACATTAATAAATAAATAAATGAAAGATGTTTTGATGTGACAAAAACCATACAGCTGGTCCCTCTCAGCACTGGGAAACAAAAAGTAAATTGCTATTCAAAACTGTAGAGATTATAACAGCACCTCTTAAAAAATTGGTGGTTTGAGTTTGCCACTGGTAGGACTTGCTTCTTTACTCCCCTCCTCTGGTGTTTCTGGAGATTTATCTTGCTCTTCCCCTTTTATAAATGGCCATTATCAAATAAGAAATTACTCCTCTTTACCAAAAATTAAATTAAACTTCAGTATGTGGCTTGATGAAAGGAAAAGAGGTACTCCTCTTCGGTAGGGAAACAGATGAAGAACATAGGATCAGTTATACCATGGACTAAAGAATCTATCGTCAGTTGTGTGGAATTTTTCTTTTTTTAAAGAAGAGGTTCTCAAACGTATGTTCTTATCAATTTGTGGCTAACACTGTGTTGAGATGAGCGAATAAAATCAAGAAAAAATGCGCAATTTTGTTTCAATTGTTTCGTTATTTATTTGCTTTAACATGATAGATATAACAAACAAATGACTTTCATACAGTTTAATGATGTGTGAGTATTATCAAATCTCTTCACTCACTGGACCTGACAAATTCAAAGGTGATGTCGTAGAATGTTCGAATTTGATGGTCTGTGTATTCAAAAAGATAAAGCAGCAAGGTAACAAATACATGTCAAGATTTAATATTACTTTGGAAGCAAAATGTTTTTCTTGCTTTCCGATAATAAGTAAACTTAGAAACATCAATTTTTTTTTCAATTGAAGGACTCTGAAACACTCAACAAATATACAAATGTTTAGTGATTAGAATACCTATAACAGTAACCTACAAAAACTGAAATTATGTAACTAACAAAAACCATTTCAAGTTTAACTCCAAAAATAAAAGCATCCAGTCAATTAGTATTTGTATAATATTCCAACAAAATACAGAAGATGCAGCTATACAAACATTATAAACAAGAACAGTACCCTGTAGCTTGCTGCTGAGGGGCATTGGTTCACTTCACTGTACGTAAACCATTAATGCCTCTTCCGCTTGTAACTTAAGTATGTGCAATTGAATCTTAAAATTCCTCACAGGCCGTTCACTTCTAGCCTTTGGCACATCTAAGAATACTCCTCAGCGGATAGTTGGTGGTTACTCTGGTGTGGTTTGCTCCATCTTTTCTAACAAACATCCGTCATCCCTGTCTCTCCGCCTTCTTTCTTGCATTCATTCCCAGTGCTCTCTTGTGACTTTTGCTGTACTAAAACTAGAATACTCCGCAACAAAAGAGAAATTCTGAAATTACCAAAAATTGTTAGAAGCTCTCAGAGCAGCCGTCAAGTTTTTAACTCATTGGTTATTGTACAGAGATTTAAAACCACTTTCAAAACTTCAAGTTGGTTAAGAGGGGTTGACCCAGGAATTTAACTTCCATCTCTGATAAGACAAAGCCAAACGGGTAAGCCCAAGTTCAGAACACCCACTTGGGATTTAAACCAAGGCCATCCACTCTGTTTTTTAAAGTTTTAGTAAGAATTTTAGGGCACTTGTATCATACAAGTGTCGATACACTCTGTAATCAAGCGTGATACCAACTGAGCTAACGGTGTGCTCTAAAGCCAACTTTCTAACATCATTCTGTTCCAACATGAGACTGGGATAAACCAGAGCCAGAGACCATCCTTGTATGCATGAAGAGCATAATCTATCTGTTCACAATAACGGACTCCTCTGGAAGAAATTTACATACAGACTTATCACAGACATACCTATTTCTGATGTGCCTGTACAACATAGTGTCAGTATTGCAAACAAATATACGTAACCAACTCCTTACTTTACTGAGGATTCGAAAAAGTTTTGACATGCAAATTATTTTGAGGTCAGCACTGTTTGAACAATGACTTTCAGGGCAATTATGTCAAGGAAAAGTAAGGCGATTGCACAGTCAGAATCCTGGACAGTTGAAGACACTTGTTATTCATTATAGTTACACATATAGTTGTACACACATCCACACACATACATCACACACTCAAAAACACATACACACACACACACACACAAACTTAATCTTCTACAGCTCATGCACCTCACAAAGTTTCACTGTTGTTACAAGGAGCATCTGACACGTTACGTCAGAACTTCTTTGAAATGCTAAGTTATAGGGAGCGTTTGTCTTAATTTATATAGAACATAAGTGTTAACTAACGACACATACAGAGCCTGTCTGCACATACGAAATGATAGAGGATATCTGAGATCTGAGTGACTAAATATCACAGGGAGCACTGGTTTCAATAAGCAGATCATAATCTAATATAGATAACACAATCTACACTTTAACCATGCATCACAGATTAGTGTGAAAGACATCTATGTGGCGACAAGCTTAATGCTGATAGGTACCATGGAAACACAGATGGAATATTGTGACATTCAACAATGAGCTCTTTAATAAGTATCCCTCTCTGCCATGGCAACGATTTTGCCTTCCTCATAAGCTTGGTGAAGTTTCCGAAGGGTTTCTGCCATACGCTGTGCCTTCTCATCCCCTCCAAACACCTTTTTCATCTGTCGGAGTTGAATTTGTTCAGGAGACTCGGAGAAAGCTAAGCGTTCTTGGTTTCTTCGCTGCCTGTTCAGGTAGTCCTGAAAGAAACCCATTGTGAACTTAATGGAGAGAAAGGGATGACATGGTGGTTCTGGGCTGCTGGTATGACATTAGAATATTCACAATCACTTGTAGACCATGAAGTATACTGAAACGCTCTAATTTAAAGTACGGGTAGGATCAAACAGAGCTCATCTCTTGCTATTTTACGTTACGGTCATTGACTGATATTCATATGAAAAGAGAAAAGAGACAAAAGAAAGGTAAACTTCATGACCATTCTTTTTCTTTTTTTTTTGCAAAACATTACAAATAAGAGACATTGCTTGATTAAAAGAAGTGTTAGAGCAACAGAAAATAGACTTTTAGAAAAGCTCATTATAAATCTGTACTGGCACAACATTCCCACATTACAGCATGGAAACTAGTTTGTAATTCCCATCTGATCTCAAGACTATCCCCCAGTCAATTGACAAAGATAGCTCAGGTATACTGAGTCCATAACAAGTTAAGAAAAACAGATATAGCATTAGCTGTGGAATTTTTGTACAGGTATTCAGAAGTATCTCAGTACCAATTCTTGACACCATCAACATAGATGAAGAGAAATTGAATTATCAAACCATCTCTCTTCAATTAGGAAAATGTGTATGCAGAACTTAACTGAATTCTCTACCTACAAAGCACGATATTAGAATGCTGATTGTCCCCTGTCTAGATCAGGGCAGTTGGGACACCATTTTCATTGTTCGGAATGCAAATCAGATTGATGTTCCAAAGGAACCATGCAAATTCATTTGGTTAGAGAATTTGGTTGACCTCTCTGTTAACAAAACACTCAACAATTCATTGACAGATTAAAGTACAAAAAACAAACAGCAATTACAGTTACCCTGTATGCAATGTCGTATTCATCCTGCAAAGGCTGTCGAGGTTTCTCTTCACCTTGACCCATCCTCAGCTGACTGGCCTTAGTGGATCGAGGTGATATCCTTGGCGATGGCACACTTTTGGAATATCTTTCAATCTGTGCTCTTCTCTTTGCCTCATATTCTTTCCTCAGTTTCTCCTCAGCCTCATGAATTCTATCAAATTTGTAATTAAGGAAAGCATTGTTAGGAAAGGAATATCCTCACCCAAAATTTGCTTAAATTTACTCAATTTTTCACATTATAGAAATACACACACATAATGGCTGTGAATGCTGGACAATCACTAAAGACAGTGAAAATAAAATAGAAGCAACAGAAATGTTGTTTCTTAGGAGACTGCTGAGAATGTCGTGGAAGGAAAAGAAATCAAATGAGGTACAGTAGTCTCCGCCTAAACGCACAGTGCTCGGGAGGGCTCCTTAGCGTGTGTTTATACGGAGCGAGCGTTTACATGAACCTTAGCAAGGGGAGAAAGGGACGCAGTCATCTCAATTCCTTATCACTCTAGTGACCTCCCTTGGATGGAGGGGGTAATTTTGGCTGATAATGTGACGACACGTGACTGTTTTGTGAAGGATTCCCCGACAGGGGTTAAGAATACAAAGGCGTTGAATGGGGGGGCGGGGGAGGGGGGGGAGAAAGACAAACTCAATGTAATGAATATGCACTGTAAACGTCGGGAACAGATAGCCTAAGAGGAAACTGTTTGTCATAGTCATAGAGATGACGGACCAGCCACGTGGCTTTCCAAGTGACCACCCCCGACCGTAAATTCAATCATTCAGAATCATCCCCGAGAAACATTTTCTCTTGTGATTCGTTGAACAAGCACGTTATAAGTTCTTCGAGTACAGCTGATTAGGCTTACTTTGCTAATCTTTAAAATCCTATAAAGGCCTGTCTAGTGTTTTACGGCATTCGCGCGTGTCATGCATCAGGCCTAGTTATAACTAAACATTACACGCAGTCACTCAAAGACCAGTCAGAAACCTTCTCTCAAAGATACATTTCCAGTGACCAATCAAAAAACATTTTAGCCCCCCAAATCCCCCCCCCAACATTTAACCCACCAGCCCTAGACCGACACCTAAGCGTCAGTGGAAAGTAGGGTGTGTAAACGCTGTCCATCACTCTCTTTGTGCGGTGTGAGCGGCACTCTCACCAAATATCCGGTTTTCTAGTAAATTCTAGGCTTGTCTTATGCAGGCTGTGCAGGTTGTAATGAAAATTTCCCCTTGCCAAGCTTAACTTGTCGGCGTGTTTCGCAGATCGGAGCGTGCGTTTAGAGGGAGTGACCGTGCGTTTGTATGTCTAAATAAAAGTTCAACCTAGATTTGAGGTCAAAATTTTAGCTTAGCTTTACTCTCATCTGCATAAAAGGTCTGCATGCATAGACCTAGAAAACATGCCTCATTCATTACTTTGGCTCAACCATTCATGATCATAAAGAAAATGGGTCATTTCCACATTTCAAAAGTCAGGACTTACTTCTGCTGTCTATCTTTCCTTCTTTTCTTAACAGCTTCATAGCTTGGAAACATGGGGTTGCCCAATACAGGTCGAGTTTGTGGAATTGGGTTCAACTGACTAATCTCAGAGTACTTGACCATTGCACCATGACCACGAGGACAGAAGAAGAACCTCTTTCCTTTGTAGACACCATTGTGGGTGGAATAAACTGGAATAAAAGAAATGATAAGAGAAATAATGATTACTGCAAAACAGAACAACGTAAAATTGTATGATGCTTTAAAATGAAACTTACTAGTAGAGTCTACTTACATTGAACATAGTTAATCCGAAAACAGTGGAGAACCGAAAGAAAAGAAATTTCCCAATTATGATTTCTTTTATTTAACTCTTTATCTCTAGCAAGCCATTCCCAGCGGCTCGTGGTCGGAACCACTTTGCCGGTGAGCCGCTGACAGCTCGGGCACATTCCTCTACAACGACTTTGACATCAAATTACTTTTCGGCCATTGCCAAAAACAGGTCTCTTATACCGGAAGTTCATTCATTAGATGAGGAACTATCAAAATAGGTAGGCTAGTTTCAATTTAATGACCCATTTAATGACGTTTTTGTCATTTTTAGATTTAGCACCAAAAAAGGGCCAGCGCGTAGTGGGTTTACCTCCCTTGGAGATAAAGTGTTAAGCAACCTCTTTAAATGGAAAACTCAGCAAAACTGAACAAATTCCAGTGGTCATGCAGATTCAAGTTTAAGTGGACTCCACTGTGAATGAAAGAGTAGGAAGTTTCCGAAACACACCATTTAGATATGTTTCCAGATCCAGACCCTTTACCTTAGAGGCAAATATTGTGTACTAAAAGCTTGCCTGTTCAAATACTTGTGTTTTACAAGCCTATGTACTGCTTGGCATGCATGCATAAACTTATTTCACAGCACTTGCGTCACACTGCGCTACCAGTCAATATATTACAGTGGAATCCTGTTATAACGAGAGGGAGGGGACCGGTGCGAAATGTCCGTTGTAGCAGGATTCTCGTTACAAGAGATCCAGTAATAAATGTAAGGGAAATAGTAAAGTAGGCCTAATTTATGAGTTTGGCGTTCTGTTTATTCCTTTTTGTATTTCCCCTGATGATGATTTGTTCAACATGATCTCAAGGTCTTACTTTATCAAAAATCGAATCAGGTTTCTTTTTCTAGCACTAGTAATGTGGACAAATCGGCGTTGGCGATCAGAAAGAAGGGGCTCTGGCTCTAGGCTAACTCGCCCGCTGTGTTGTCTCCCACCCCACCACACACTGTGGTGTGTTGCATCTGTTCGTGCACGTCACACATTCATTCCATCCATCTATCACTATCACAGCATTGTGACCTCTCCATCCCGCACCAGAGAAGTGAGAGGCACGGTAGATCTATGCATAAACTAGACTGGGCTGGCCTATCACGCGATGCGTTCTGCTTGTGTCTGCGCATACCACACTCTCCCTACTCAGTTGCTCCGACCTTCAATGTTGGTTCGCGTGGGCTCTCCCATTCTTTGTTTCGCTGGATCACCGACAACTTTCTCAACTGGCAAGGTTTTATAATAATGTTTAATTGGTCTTTGCGCTGTGCACAGCAGCAACAATATTCCGTTATAACCGACTCGCGTGACGGTCTGATTGCGCAATAGCAGTACTTTATTTACAAAGATAAAGAAGGAGAAAAAACGGATCATTTTTTAAGTAAATGACAACACAAAAGTTTTCAAACTTTCTTGGCCCACTGCCCCCTTTTTCACCCAGCCAAGTTCCAGCGCCCTCTACTCTGCCCTAACCATCAATCTGACATAACGACATGTATATGTGTACATTACCTAGTTACTAATGACTTGGTTCTGAATAGAAACATTACTTGGGTCACAAATCACCATCTTTATAGAATCTTGAATTATGCGTGTACGAGAGATAATAATTTTTTTTTTCATGAATAGTATGCAAGGGCATAGAGAACAATATGCTGTCATTTTATGCGTGTAGTTGTCGTCCGTATTAAACGACTAGTGCCATTAGCATCAATAAAAGTAATAGCCTACATGTATTATCACATATATACAAAAGCAAAACACAAATAAGTCAGTGATCATTGGTTTGAAAACAGATTGACATTATCTTTATGGAACGTTTTCTCCCATCAACGTGCTGCAATAAAGTAGCCTGTGATTTGTGTATCAAATATCTCCATTGCAGAACATAAAAATATGTGAGGTAGCGTGGTGGAATCAGGCTCTCGTCAAAATAATGAAACCTGTTTTCTCCCTGCTTAGCAATTTTTATCAAATTTTGTTTTTTTGGCTCAATACCTTTTATGTCAATTTACAAACACATATATTTGAGGATTTCACCGAAAACGTTGATTAAAGGCACAAAAATATAAATTTACAGTTTCCATGGACTCTTCAGCTTTGGAATTTACAAAGCTTTGGCGACCATTTCCTCGCTAATTTTACCTCTTAAATCAGGTGACCTCCCCCACCTCCTTCAATCCAAAATATCTCCACTTCTATTGAAGATGGATGGGTAATTTTTCATTGAAAGCAAGACAAATGAACAAGCTTTAAGATGATACCTATAACTCAATATGACAAAAAATTGACGAGAGCCTGATTCCACCACGCTGCCTCACATATATTAAGTTGTTCAAATGTGAGAAAATACAAGAAAGAAAAAGTATGCATGGATCTTTGTCAGTAATCATCACCATCATCGTAATCATCATTGTAATCATCATCGCTTCATCAGCAACGGCAGCACATGCAGATAACAAACTCCATTAAACAAATGAGTAGTTTACTTTTTAAAAAAAAGAAAGAAACAAACAAACAAAAAGAAAATGCACATTGAGGAATCAAGTAAGGGTAAACTACGGAGTAAGCATATATACAAATAAGTCATTGATGCTGCCCTAAAGGGAAGGATGGACCTGGTGAGATGAAACCAACTTATCAAAATCATGTTTCAGATTGGTCAGTGGCAGACGCAAATTGCCATGCTCTGTGATCCTTAGTTTGTTCCTCTGCTTCGTCAGCAACCTTGTTACTGCACTGAATCCCCTTTCTACCAGATAGGAGGTGGGAAAAGCGATTGACAACAGCTAGATCTTTTCCTACAGGGAGCGATAGTTTTGTCTTGCACAACAGTTTTTTAACCAGAATGACTGCTATGACTTCTTGAACAACGGTTCGATTTCAAAGTCACTTTTCATTGTCAGAAGCTCTTCTTCAATTGCTATGCTACTGGGCAAGTTACCATCTGTTTCAGTGTTGAATGGGTCCAGTACCCAGTCTGGAATTTTCAGTTTAAAAATAATATCAGTAAACCATGCCTTCATAATAATCAGCATGCAAATCTCTGAAGTGGCTGGTATATATTTCTAGTTCCTTATCAGACACGCGTCTTTCTTTCAGTGTCTCCACCATGCTAGGAAACTGAGCAAATTCTCTTCTCTACCAATGTTTAGGCAGAACATTTCCAATTTCGACAAGAATGGCAAAAGCATGGATTTTGCTTGGATCAGGTTGATGTCATCCCCCTGCAGCTGCAAGTTGACCTGGTTGAACTTTGCGAAAAGATCTGAGAGGGACGCAACGTTGTTCACGTGTCCTTTCAGTTTATTAAAGAGATCACAGTCTGTTTCTTGAAAAAACTCCAGCACAGAGTCAAACAGGCAGAACAATCGTGTTAAACAGTGTCCTTGTGAGAGCCACCAGACTTCAGTGTGCAAAAGTAAGAATTAAAAGTCTTCGTCATTTCCACTGCACAGTTGTTGGAATAATCTCGAATTCAAAGCATGGGCTTTGATCTTGTTGACACACTTGATGACATTGGCCAGTGTGTCATGCAGATCATCACTCAGGGGTCTTTTGTTTTTTGGCCATCAAATGCTGTCTGTGAATGACACAGTGAACAGTAAGTACTCCAGTGAATGATTTCTTCAAGAAGCTCATAAATCCACTGTACTGACCTGTCATCGACGGTGCCCCATCTGTTGCACATGTAACTATACTGGTCAGAGGGATCTGTATCTCCTTGAAAAACTTTTATTGGCCAGATATTTGTAAGAAGAAACTAAAGGTATGGAAATATACCAGGCGGGATTATCTCATCATTATGGGCTTTGTGTGCTGGGAAAAAAAGTTCTTAGTAGTATGTAGTATTGTAAACTATGCCTAAGCTAAACCATTTCTTTAAAACTGTTCTCAATTTTTGTTTTTGTTTTGTTTTACCGTGGCTTCTTCCCCTTCACCCTTTTTGTTCTTGCTTTTTTGTATTTCATGAAATTTTCACACCGCCCCCTTAACACTTTGCCATCACATTTTGGGGGAAATCTAAAAAAACTGGGAGGTGAACATAGCCGATTGGCAAGATGAGGCGGCAAAGTGTTAACGCCCACTAGCATCCGCTAATCGCCCAATTTCGCCACAGCGCCCCAAAAACTGTCGCCACTTTGAAAATCACTGCTATAGTAACGAAACAGGATCTTTACTACATAAATCATAATAATGAGGCGTTTGGTGTGCCAGAGAAAGAACATTTTGACATACCATATTATCTGCCTTAATAAAAAACCTCCCCCCCCCCCCCCCCCCCACACACACAAAAAAAAAAGGAAAAAAAAGGAGCAACAATTATTTTTCAAGTATTGTTAATCATCATTAAGTAACCCATAGCGCCGTAAAACCCTATACTACATACATACATACATACCCATGGTTTTCTGTTGTGCTATATACCATAATAAAGCAAGCCCTTCCCCTTCCACAAACGCGCAGGGCATCTCCAAAAAACTTTTTGCGTTGGAAAGCCAAATACAATTGATCCTTCAATGAGCATCAACTTTAATTTTTAAAAAGTAGCCATTTTGATAAGAGGCAAATTAGTGTTCATGTATGCTTTTCTGTTTTGGCTCCTTTAGGTTGAACATACAATGATTCGTAGTACCTATTTAAGAAGAATTACAGATGATAGAAATAGAACAGCACACTGAGTCCTCACCATTGTCATAGAGGTGAACACCCACATGCATTTCTGGTGCAATGATGTGATCGTCTGCAAGACCCACATACTTCACAACACCTAGGGATAAATCATGAAGAGTTAACAGTGTAAGTATACCTTGAAGAGAAGCCACAATGTGGAATGCATTGCACCTGGAGAATGTGAAATGGAAGAAAGTTTTCCTTTCATCGCTGTGAAAAGCCTTTTTGGAAAGATTTTAGTTTAAGTTAAATTGCTCAATTGCTGAATTACTAATCAGTAAAAGTATTATCACTCCTTCAGATATAACTAGCCACAAAAATGACTTCAAATTATCCTAAACTAGACTCTCATCCCCAAGAGCTCAATATTATATACTATAATCATGTATCTATAAAATAATAGTCATTTATATAAGATAAATAACAACTATATGATATGTATTGCTAAGTAAATACCATCCATTTCAAAATAACACCTTATCATAAAAAGTTTACAATGTTGAAAAGAAGGCAGAAAACAATCCCAATAATAATTTCCTTCAAATCATTGTTGGTGGTTCGTCATAAAATAATTGTCTCAGATGTAAAAAAAAAAACTATTAGCAAAAACAGTACCAGCATGTTTTCCATGAACAACAACCCGGTCCCCTTTTCGAACAAGTCCACTTTGATTGCCGAGTACTGCAGTGCCATCAGCCCGAGCAGAAGATGTTTGTCTGATGCATTCACTGCCTTCTTTAAGAGCTGCCTTAAAGAACCTTTTACAAGGAGCACACGAGCACTCAGATTCTTTCTGTTGACAAAAATTCAAAAGAGACAGAGAACATTTGAAAGAGTTTGTTCAGGTAGGAACATTATTATAAAGTACATGTCTGTGATCTTTATTTGGATTATCATTAAAATGTTTAGAAAGATTCTGACCCATGCAAACGCTCTTAATTGTTAACACATGAAATTAGACTTCCTGTATAAAACCCACCTAAAAGCAAAAAACATATAGGCCTATGTATATATAAAAATAGCAGAAAATGAAATAATATTGTGAATCAATAAAAGGTTTAGAAAGCGTAATTTAATAGTGAGTAGGCCTAAGCTAGATCTAGACAACACACGTAAATTTAAATCAAAAGTCACTGCACTTATACTTGGGGAGTGACTCACTGATTGTGTGTAAAAGTGTAAAAAGTGTAAAGTAAGTGTTAAGTCATTAATTAAATTAACTTGACAGTGATCTAGAAATCTAGTCTAGATCTAGATAGATCTACAATCTAGATCTAGATCTAGATTCTAAATCTCCTGAACTGCGCTAAATGTAATTTCAGAAATCGCTTTACACACCTTATTTATAGGCATTGGTGCAATGACAGACATGTTGCAAGACAAAAGGCATAAAACAATTGGAATATAATTTTCTAATATCAATTATCAAGGCGCCTCCAAGGCAGGCTCCTGGTTCTCTTTTTGCCCAATAAGTGGCGTCTGTTTGCTTCCATGACACCACTTCCGGAGAAAATATTTCAAAATAGATACAATGAAAGTACGGAATAAAAGATATTACATCTGTAACAAGAATGGATTTTCCTCTGATTTTGTTATAGAACTATATAAGTATACATTGAATTTTTAACAACTTTTTTTCCATGTGATTTGTAGAGAAAAAAGAGTCTAGAATATTTTGATTTTCCCTGTGCAGTTGTAATCTCGTTAATCTTTTGAAAGAGGCGTCGAACGATTTATGCATGCCAAATTGGAAAAGAAAGGTGGCTGAAATTGTGTATTCCACACAGCCCTAGACAACCGGTACTGCGCCTTAATTTACGAATAGATCTTGTTTATATTTTCAAGAAAACATGTTGTTTTCGTGAATATATATATATAGATCTATGTCCTCAAATAGTGTAGGAATAACATCTCCGACAGATATTCCTGAAAGAAACGGAATAAGCATAATATGAATAAAATTATGAGCATTATTGTGTTGAAAGTGTTTAAAAGGGCAACGTAATAAGTCCTGGCATTTAAGGTTTGGGACAACGATACCTTCGGACATTTAAAAGTATCGAACGTAACTTTAAACATATCAATTGTTTGCAAAGTTGAAGAAAATATCTTCTGAAATGAGATTTGACTTTTGATAAACTAACCAAAGACATGCTTTGATTAAAGCTTTTAACCCTTAGAAAGTTCAAAACAAAAAAAAGAAAAGAAATATTTTACTAATAAACAATAGCCGATTTCAACAGTACCTTCCGATTCCGTCTCTCGATATGTGTATTGTGTTGTGTGTAGTTTTGATAGATCCTAGGCCTAGAGGTTTATTGTGAAATGTTCATGTGATTCATACCACTGACACCATCAAAATAATGCACACACATGCCTATGACTAACAGAGTGAATTACACGACTTCATTGACAGTTTCAAAACGACCTAGGTAAAGTCCTGTTCAGTTAATAAATGTGCTGGATTCTCCAAAGATACAACGGAGATAGAGTATTTAAGGCTAAACTAAGGCGTTACCGTCACCGAACCGCTCTCCTCCCTTCCTTGTTTGTTTGAGTTCGGTTAGTTAAATAAATTTGTTGTGCTGTTTACAGTTTTGTGTGCAGGCTAATCATAATGATTACCCTGAGGCTCTGGCCTTTTTTGCTGGTCTGGGTCTGAATATAGAACTTTTGTTATCAGTGTTTGTGTTAGAGGAGTACGTTGGATTTGAATAGTCTTTTTTTTAATGGAAAGTGGCTATTCTCACCCGCCGGAGGAAGTTCTCGCAAGATCAACTCCTCGGTGATCTTGTAGTTCCGTTCGTTAAAGTCCACGATCCATTTGTTTACATCCAGACAAGAAATCCAGAAGTCTTGAAGACCAAATACTATTTGAATTAGGCTACACAAAGAGCAGGGATGCAACCTAATTGCAAAACATCAAGTTAGGGTAAAATTCAGGGGGACATGCCCCCCTGACCCCCCCCCCCCCACCTCCATATTTTTATTAGATAAAGGTCAGGGTGGCAAGCCCCCCTGAAACCCCCCTACTCTTGACTTTAACGAACGAAACTACAAAATCACCAACTCCTCCCCTCTTCTCTCTCTCTCTGTCTCTTTCTGAATACTGTCTATCGGTGTGGACGATCAAATTGACCAAAACAAAGTTAAAAAATGATGTTAAAACACAAAAGTAAATTAATTTGGTTGTCTACAAAGATGCTACGGCTATTTAACTTTTCGAATCGAGCCGAACTACGCGGGTCGCCATTTTGTTTTGCCCGGAAATTCTCGCGCTACTCCTCTCTCTTTCTCTCTCTCTCTCCACTGCCCACAGACAAAATTGTACGCTTTTAGTAGGCTACAGTTGTAATGGAACATTTGTTCACGGCACAGAATTCTACAATTTTTCTGTTATCACAGTGTAGAATTCTGTGGTTTAGGGTGAACGCAAAATTTGGTGAATGCGCACCGGGTGAGAATAGCCACAAGACTCGCCTGCACTATTCTCACTCCGGGTGAGAATAGAGGTGGCCTTTTAATGTTTGGTACTTTTGACTTTGACACTGCCTTTCTAGCCTCTACTTCTACCCTGCCTACTTTATTACTTGATAAATTAACGTATAGATAGGCTAATTTCCTCTACTTTTAATACCCACGTTTGAGCCTATTTCCGGGTATTTACGGGACGCCTGGGCCCGGTGGCCGAATCCTGTGTATTTATGGGATGCGCTTTTTCTGTTGATAATCGCCTATATGTCATGTTTTTCGGTCACAAGCTACGAAAAGTGGCAAGTCAACAATTATTGACTCACTTGTTTCATTTCGTTAAATAGTTTTATGAAATTATGCGAGACACTTTTTGAGCCGTAGCTGTAACTAAGTCAGTCACCCCCACATTGCGAGGATGATTTTTATTTAAAAGTATACAAATTGGACACACACAATAATTGCGTAGAGGCTAACCCCAGGATATTGCCTTTTTACAATATTGATGAAATTAGATTAAAACTTTTAGGAAAAGTCAGATCATGCAGTTTTCTTTTTCTGTGAGAAGCATCTTTATTTCTTTTGTTGCATTAAAAATATTATGATAGCTTTCACTGTCTTTTTTGTCTTTGTTTTTGGGGTTAAAACGATTCAATTCATACCATAAAACTGTCAGGCTGCTAAGTAACTGCAATGGTTGTTGGAGGAAAAATAGCTCAGGCTCAAGTGAGTTCAAACTGAATTAAACTTCATTTATTAGTTTCTTAAATAAGATTACTTCATGTAAAGTGGAAAATGCTTCCATAGGTGGCCCATACTACAGTTTTAACCTTACCTACTCCCTTCGGACCCAAAATTTTGAATGTATAAAGTTGTGGACCGTGGTATATATATGTGTATTGGCTGCTCTTATTGGCCCACATGGGCAAATAAGCTGGGGCTTATTGGCCCACATGAGTCATTTAATGCGTTGTTTTTCAATGTATTTCATACATGGTGTTGTCCCAACTTGTTCTATAACTTCGTAGCTATTGTTCATCTTTTTATTATTATTATTAGATTGGAAAACTATACATTCTCAATTTAAAATATGTGATTGATGTACTAATTTGTTGAGCTATTTTTGAAGATGACAGGACTGTTCGTTCTTTCTCTAGCTTTAATAGTTTTTGATTATTAAGATTAAATAAGAAATAATAAATGCTGTAAACTCCTTGGAGTCATTCTAGATCTAGATCTATACTTCCTTAATATTATAGTAGAAATTGACTTACTTTCAGGTGTAAAATATAATATTAACTTAAGCCTTAGAGAAGTGTATAATTATAATATAATAATCTAGTATTTAAGGGGGATTTTGCTGTTGTCTTTTCATTTAAAATTATCATTTGTGGATTTGGGGGGGGGGGGGGGGCGCCGCGCCAAACACAGGGGAGAGAGTTTATGCCCCTGTGGGCCAATAAGCACTCCGATGTGTATTATTATTACACAAACCAAAAAAAAAAAGAAGAAAGGTGACGGTGATAGATGGTGTTACTAAATTACAGTCGAACCTGTTTAAGACAGCCACCCATTATTGTCAAGGAGAAAAGTGGCCGTATAAATAAGGCAGGTGGCCATCTAGGGCAAGACTGATCATGATGAAGAAGACAAACCATTCCCATTTGAAATCCCAATCGAAAGTAGCCGCATTGTTTCTTGTTGTTTTTTTTTTGTTGGTTTGTATTTTGTTTGTTTGTTGTATTTTTATTTCGTTGCTGATTTTGCGCAAGAGTGACAATAAAATGAAATGTATCAGACGAGGAAGACCGAGTACCATGTTAAAACAAACACATGGATCACCACCACTCGGAGAACGAGTGACTCGCTCACGTCATGTTGGTGTCCATTGTTTCTTTGTTACAGACTGGGTAAACAGTGACCACTCATCTCACTTACGATTTGTGTATATGAGTTCTGGGCGGGGCTTTTGGGTTATGAGGGATCACATGCTTACCTCACCAGCAGCTGAAAATTGGTACCTATTGCCACTATTGGTCAACAATGGGAGGGGCCTACCCAACATGATCAGTTGGAGGGCCTACCTACTAACAACGACAGGTGATTGAATTATGACAGCTCGCCCACAACGCCAGGGGCCAGTGCACAATTTATGACAAAACGTAATGCAGTCACTAAGGTGGCCGTCTAAGACAGGTGTTATTGCTTAGTGTGATAGGGGTTGTGTGTTAAAATATGGTGGCTGCGGCCGCGTTGGACAGGTGACCATTTTACAGTTAAATTATATAGAAAAAACACAAGGGGGGAAATGGACAGTGGCCGTTTGTACAGGTGGCCGTCTATAAATAGAGGTGGCCGTCAGGGCAGGTTTGACTGTATCAATTTATTAAACTTTATTATTAATTAACCGCCCTCATTGTTACTGGGAAAAAACAGCACCCACAGATTTGACGGTTGGAAAGTGTTCATTTTAACAATTTCACCTTTTAGTTTTAGGATTTTTTCAAGGGGTCTTTTTTGTTTTTTGTTGTTTTTGTTCGATGTTTTTCTTTATCTCAAATCCAAGTGACATAGACATACACACATGAATAATTCATGAATGTACGGGGGAGGTGGGATGAAGGTCATGAAAGTAATGTTGATGCTGATTAATCAGAGTCTCAACTTCTTTACACCAGTTAACCAAGGCGTCCTGGGTTTCTTGTTGTTGAGCCAACCAGTGGGCAGGCACTGGACTGGCCCACCAGGAAATCGCAGTCTTGCGGTGGCATTTTTCTTGGAGTTCCACAATAAACCCGCAATTTTCGCAATTTCTTGCAATTTTATACCAAAATGCGTCAACGTTTTCATTTTAACAGAATTTTAGATACGAAATGGTGCCAGTACGGAGTAAATCGTGATATCGGCCCAGCTCTTGCCTACTGGGCTGTACTCTAAAAGTTATACCGGAAATTCAGGCCGGAATACGAACACGACTCGACAAAAAAAAAGCAAGTGCCACAAACTGAGACTTTGATCTAGATCTTATGTATTATAAGAATGCGCGTGAAGCAAGTCGGTGTGTGGTGTGCATGTAAGATGTGTGTGTGTGTGAGCGCACGAGCGTGCGTGCATGAATATTGTTCGTACATGATGCTTTTATGTAAAGCCCCTAAGCTGTGTTCACACGGGAGTAGGTGCCATAAAAGTGATCTACATTATTTATTATTTTTGTTTATAATGGCAAAAAATATTTGTTTCTGTACTTATAACGATTTAACTTAGTGTTAAAACTATACCATGGGTTTTAAAACAGAAAATATCTGAAATAGATCTTGGTACAGATTACAGGTGTAGTGACGATTTCAAGAGAAAAATGAAACAGGATCTGAATTGATTGGAGCATTATATTTTGTATTTTTAATGTTTCGTAAATCTTCCGTCAACATTTTTTTGGGGACTAAACCTCGTGATACTTCTTACACTTCTAGATCTTTGCATGAGCCAAGTACCCGGTATACTAAATTTGGTCAAATTTTATGCATTCATTTAAAAGTTATTACGAAAACCGAGAATTCTGTTTTTTTGTGTCACGTGGTATTATGTTATATTTGGTCGATGACTTATTGTTAAAGTACTTGAGTGTTATTACTAGTAAATGTTGTTAATAAAATTTGTGCTGTGCATCAAGATTTGTTTAAAAGGCTGTTTTGCTTTTATTGCTACTCAAATTGTCAGTTTTTTTAAACTGAAAATTTTAAGCCCGTTTTAATGCACCTGGGATGGGAAGGTTGCAATTTTTTTTCAATTTTTAGGCAGTTTACTTTGCAATTTTTCTAATTTATAATATAAATGCAATTTTCTGTGGGGCCAGACTGGAGTAGAAGCAGAGGATTTGAAAGTGTGTGTGGGGGGGGGACGTAAGTGTCCGCTAGTGGGAAACCTGTAAGAAAAACTTGCCCTCTCATCCGTGCAGCTGGATGAACAACTGAATAGATTATAATTTATATTATAAGTCTACATAGTAAGACTTGTTTTTTGCCATATTTCTTTGTTCTGACAATGTACAAAGTACATTAAACGTTTGATCTCTAAAATCCCTTGAAAAGTGAACGTTTTAGAAGCGAAAGATGAGGCTAATCCTTGCTATAAGCTGAGGATGTTTATGTTTTACTGAGATTTTACTGTACCGGTATATATCTCTTTGCTCTTTGACTTGTTATAAAATGTACATTTTTATTTAACACACCTATTATGAGGTACTGTTTTAAGTTACTAACAGTTCAATATCAGCGACTCACCTACTTGTGTATATAGGCCTATTGTTACTATTATATCTATATATGAGCCAGACTTTGTACATCAGAATTGGGTTATATTTATCCCAGAGACTGACAGGTGAGAATATCAATGTTGTATTATTAAATATGATAGGTCAGTGACATCCAGCCTTGAGTTCTGTGTTCATTTGGAAACATAAAGTAAGCTGCCAGTAGAATGAGAATGAAACTGTATCCCATTTACTTTACAATAGAGCTCATGAGATCAGTAAAAAAAAAGGGGGGGGGGTGAGTCGTTTTATGGTGTTTATGACTGTCCAGGTAAACTCTGTAGAGATTGATTGTTTAGCACATATGAAAAATGTCCCATGGACTCACACTGTCATCTCGTCTTACCAGTTCACTTTCTATTGTTGGTTGGTAGGATGAATGGCTCCCACGATTAGCAGTTCCCGGATCGTTCTTGTGATTCTTAACCGTACAGTACTTTACCTACATAAGTTTGCTGTCCTTCTCTGAAGTTTGCTGTCCTTCTCTGTCTATTCATACTCTCTGAATTTTGTGGTCTACATCTTATTTTATGCTTCCTTGAGTGGTTTCTGGGTCAGGGCTTGTCTTTTCCATCTGATCCACAGTGCCAATGGTTGATCTGATGTTTCTCAACCTGATGATAATGTTGTGCCACACTCAATGAACCTTGTGTCAAATTCCTTAGGGCAGACAATGCTAATGAGTTGACTGTCAGAACAATCAACAACTTCATTCAGCTCACAGCACTTTACTTAACAAAATTGTCCCTTAGAATTCCCCAAGTGTGCAATTACTACATTTAAATGATTTTATAATGTCTTTTGCACGGATAATGTTAACTTGAATTGTAGTTTCTGCTTGTACTGTGGTAAAAAACTTGTATTCTTGTTGGGATTTTGAAGTTTTGGACATTTTTATTAAACTGGTAGAGAATTCTCACTCTCTCATTTCCACAGAAAAAGTTGACAGTTCCTCCACTCTTGGACACTATGAGGTTCTGAAAATGTGTCAGATTCTCTGAATATGCAGCGTTTTGGAGACTTTCATTTTAGCGCTTCTCAAGTTCAATGTAATGTCAGCTTTCTTAAATTGGAACACACGCTTTTGCCTGTCTACATGATGTGATTGTGTTATAAGATATGCATGCTGAATGCTGCCTTTGTCGTGTAAATTTACTCTTAATGTTTAGTGGTCAGACTATTGTGTATTTTATAGAGAGTATATTATAACTTTGCAGCTGACAGTTGTAATTGTTTGACAGTGACAAATTCAAAGGTTTTGCTATGAACTCCATTATTTGAATGGTGTTTTTCTAAATGTCTATCATAATACATGCGTAGGGCTCACTGAAACAAAAATTTCTATTGGTTCTGTCTCTTACATCGAGCGCAAGACTTCCAAAGGTAATGCCAGCTGTACTCTCAATATCATTGAGTTGATTGAGTTGTTTCCCCTGCCTCATCACAGATTGGTGTATCTTGGAAAATGTTCAACCATGAGTTCAAAGGCTCTGTGATACACTGATTAGTTTTATAACATTGAATCTTTATTATAACAGTGAGAAGACACATTGGCAAAATAGTGGATTTACAATGGAACCTGTTCAATGGTCAAACTTACTTTTCTTTGTTCCTTGTGATTTTGCTTTTGTCAGCACAGTCATGATAGAGATCATGGACTGCAAAGTTACCAGTTGAGTTTAGGTAGATTTTCACCAAGATTTTGTTACGTTTTTATTTTTTCTGCTTTTCATTTCAACTTCCCATTTGCAATTTAGGTTGAAAAGTTTGTAAAATGTAAAAAAATACATGTTTGAAATCAATTTTTCAAGGTCACGGTTCGCTGTAGTGAGTAGTATGGCCTGTCAGCAAACACTTTTTTTAGCTTCCCATTTTTAAAGTTACTTTCTTTGGTAAATAACAGGTCTCGGGGGGG